AAACAAACAATAAAAGGGGTAAAAAAAAGCAACAAGGGAAAAAGTTGAGTACAACCAGGTAAACTCCACAGGTTTAATTAGCAGAATATTACAAAGTAAAAGTCAGAATAAGACGTTGGGGGCTCCCAGGCGGGAGGCAGCAGTGAATTAAAAGTGGAATGTGTTGATCTGATTGGTTGGCCGGCTCCTGGATAAACCCACTCTCTTTCATCCATAAAAGAAAAAGGGCAGGGAGCCTATGGGAGCGCGCGCGCGCGCGGCTGTCTCCTCCTACGACACGCACGAAAGTTGTCCACTTAAACTACTTCCATCCAGCCAGCAGACATTCTACTGAACCCAAACTACACCAGGGGGGGAAAAAAACGCCGCGTTTTTATCTCCTCCCAGCGCAAAGATCATTTCGGTGACCCTCCTCCGCCGCGCAGCTTTCCCTCTGCAGAGGTTTTTATGTCGTTTTTAGTTTTATTTTTATAAACAACGCCAAAGGAGAGCATCATTTTTTTGTTTCCCTCCGCAGTGGAGGAAGGGTTTGTCCGCCTGGGATTGGGATTTGACAGCATCTTTTTTTTTTTTTTTTGAGCATTCCGAATTCACTCCATGTTTCCTTTTTAGTTATTATTTTTTATTGTTTGGTTTTTATGCTTGGACTCTAAAAGAAGCCGAGTCGAGGGCTTTTTTTTATTTTCTGTGTAGCTAGATGATGGCTACTTTGCCGGGAACAGTGCCTCGGATGGTGCGCCCTGCGCCGGGCCAGAACTACCCCCGAACAGGCTTCCCCTTGGAAGGTGAGAGGAAGGACGTGAGGCTGTGTCCATGGTTGTTGAACTTGTGCTGCTGAAAGCGAGCAGCTGCGTGGTGGGCACGGGCGACATGCTGGGGGGGAAAGACAAAAAAAAATCTGGGTGAAGGATGCGCTCTGCAGTCAGGGATGATTAAAGTTAACCTCCTGTCATGGTTTGAAGGGAATTAGAGTTGCAGGAAATCAGACTGAGGCCTCAGAAGCCTCCCAAAAATATCCATTTATTTTATTTTGAATCCGGCTGTTTAGTTTGTAGCTTTTACCATTTCTGCCAACAATATTTGCTTTAATGTATTTTTTCTCTCTGCATGATTTGTTTATGTTCAAAACACATCAAGATGAATGATTTTATTCAGAAATGCATGAAAACAACACTTATATGATCCAATTTCGATTGTTAGTCTATTTTTTTCCTACTTATGTGCTCATTATCTGAATAAGTCTGWACACATGGGTAGAAAAATAAGATTGTATTTGCATGCATTTATGGAAGCCGTTTCCCTCCCTGCTTCGTGCTCAAGTGCTCTGGACCGAAACGCGCAAAAACCACGTAGCTCGCGGGTTCCTGGAGCTGCGGGATTTGTTGAAGTGTCCTGCTGCTGGAAGTGGCCATAACACACACAGCAAAGAGGCGGCTCAAAGGATCACATCAATATTTGTACAGCATGACTAGGAATAATCAAGGTGCGGACTGTCGCCCTCCTTAGTGTCTCTAGAAYGGGAAATTGCATCCTGAAGTGGCCTCGGATGAGTCCCGGCGGGTGCATGAATTTGGCACGAGGCTCCTTGGAGAATGGATGAGATGATAATGTGCGTAAACGCGCCCCATTTTCAAAGCAGCAACACACGCGCCGCCGTGGTTTTCATCAACCCGCAGTCTGATCCACCTGCACATGTGAATGATTGTTGTCGTGTTGTTGTTTTTTTAAGAAGGCTTTGGTTTGTTTGTTGCGGCGCAGTGTCCACCCCTCTGGGCCAGGGCCGCGTGAACCAGCTCGGCGGAGTCTTCATCAACGGGAGGCCGCTGCCGAACCACATCCGACACAAGATCGTGGAGATGGCCCACCATGGCATCCGGCCCTGCGTCATCTCGCGACAGCTGCGGGTTTCTCACGGCTGCGTCTCCAAGATTCTGTGCCGGTACCAGGAGACCGGCTCGATCCGTCCAGGGGCCATCGGAGGCAGCAAACCCAGGGTGAGTGGCGCTGTGGACGGTTTGGTTTGGCTGGAACAGAAGCGCCTGAAAATGTTTAAAATTTACTTC